CACCAAGCATGAGAGCATGTTCTAGTACACCCCCAAAACAAAATCAAGACTTTGTAAAAGAGCATAATAGGACCCCTTTAAATCATGAAAACTCAAGGTTATTGATAACTCATAAAGGTCTGTGTTTTGTACTAGGTTATGATAATTAATTTAGTATACTATTATATAGCAATATAATGTCAGCTGCTTCTGTAAAGACATGTTTTAAAGGGGTCATATGATGCTGCTAAAAAGAACATTATTTTGTGTATTTGGTGTAATAAAATGTGTTTATGCGGTTTAAGGTTTTTAGGTAGGTGTGGCTGACTCTTAACTTTTATAAAGAATATCTCGTTTGATTTGAGACTTTAGTCTTTGCAACTTTACAGATCTTCTTTATGCACCAAGAGCTTGTAACACTCCAAAGAGAAAGGAAAAATTGAAATCGCATCATATGACCCCTTTAAAATAAGATTTTTTTTCTGTTTCACAGTAGAAAACAGAAAATGTCTTGATTTTAATGTCTTACTTGTTTATACAGTACTGTTTCTGTATGTTTGTGTATATGTGCGTAATTCATTATTTTTCTAAGTTGTATTAAAATAGATAATCAGTAATTAATTAAATTAATATTAACTAGTATTTATTTTTACATTATCAACAGCAGAAATCAATTGCAAATCTTCACTTATTTAAGCACAGATACTAATTAGGTTTTATTAGGTTTAGCCTATTTTTGAAAACTTGGAAATAGGTGAAATATTGTGCCGTTGTGCTCATTAATTGTTTTTATTGATATGTGGAAAGATGTAGTGCCTTTGAAAGCATGCCTACGTTTTATAAACTTAAAAATCTAATTGTACTTAATTATTGTGTGTTTTAATGACTTCTGAATGCCTGTATGTGCATGTGTGCAACTTTATCGTCGGCTACATTTTATAAATTTTTCCCATTTCAGTTTTGTTTTTTGGGTGACTCTGGCTGACATTCTGTCCAGGGGGACTACATATTAAAAAATAGCCTTTAACTATTATCTCTGGTGCATTTACAGTTATGTTTATTTATGTGCACTGTCCCAAATAAATAATTAAATAAACCTCACAACAACTAGGATAAGACTGTCCTGCAGAAAATGAAGAACTACAGAGACCATCGGGCTTTGCGGCAGTCCGCCAATAGTTTTGCGGGGTGTGAGCGCAGGCCGAAATCCTCACTTCCTGGTTAAAGATGGCGGATGAGAATGAGGCAGCACCGCAGCCGGAGAAAGAAACGGAGGTAGAAGTGGATCACGGACACTGCAGCAATTGTGAAAATGAAGAGCACCACTCTGATGACGGGTGAGCGTGCATGCATTTTACTGTTAGCTCGTAGACATATAATACTCCTCCTCAAGGCCCGATAAGACAGGGCCCTTGTTCAGCTAGGCTGTGGCACGCTAACAGCACATCAGCCCGCCCCCCTGGTCCTACGCTATTGGGCCACTTCCTTGATTGACAGACGGATCTCTAAAACGATTGGCTCAGACGCCGTCAATCAAACAAAAGGACGGTTCCATATGGCCAGTTCTATGTGATCTTTGGCATTTGTGCGAGAGGTTTAACAGCCTCACTATGAATCTTGGTTTGGAAGAAAACGAATAAGCTATTACGTTTAAAGTCGCTATTCCATGTCCTGTTCAACAACTCATAAACTGGCCAGTATTAATAAATAGCCACCAATAAAATCGCTTTCAAACCTGGTACGTTACGCAGGCCTTCATGACAACTAACGTTAATATGGATTTCCTGTGGTTAACCGATATTTTGGCGTGATCTAGTTACCTTGAGTGCTGCTAATAGCAAATGGAGCATCACCCTGCTCTCGGTTTGCACTCGTGTTCACCGAAGCTGCCTGTGTTTCACTTTCATTACCAAGGAGCTCCTCTGTTTAACCGGTTTCCTTATGCTGTCCCTGGTTTACTGAAAGAGACTCATTAACCAGCTTCTTATCCATCTACATGTCACTCAAGGTTATATACAGGCACTGTCCAGAATAAATTAGGCAACAGAGAGTGAAATATTAAGTTTATTATTATTTTGTAGTAATGGCAATGTGCCGAAGATCACGTAACATGAATATACACCGCCTATCCTGTCATGATTCACCTCATGTAATAATTGTCATTTTTCTGGCGTTATAATAATACTAATAATACGTAAGTTAATATCTTAAACATTTCAGTTTTATTTATTCGTATCTAACAGTCATGTGGCATGTATGGTAGATTTATAGTTTACTAATCTCGTGAGGTAAATTACAGTGCAGCAAAAAGCAATACAGAAGACGCTACAAGCCAAAGCATTTATTTATATATTTATTTATTTAAAATGGTCAATTATGAAATGTTGTACTGTCTTGATCCCTTAACACGTCTTGTTGACTATAGTGTAAAGAAAACATCCAAAATACACTACTAAGGGTTTATTTTATTACACTTTATCTATGTGCATCTGTAGATTTCAGTTACAGTATATGTCTTTAAAGGCTGTTTTCTCAAAAGGTTTTTACACTGAGCCAGAAATCCCCACTTCTTTAATGCTTACATCAGTTTTATTCTTATCTGTACTTTAAACATTTTAAATTACGTTTGTTCATATATCAATCGCTTGATTTATATGATATTTTATTCCTAAAAATTATGATTTTTTTCTGGCTCTTAACAATATTTTATGATTTATGGAGTGATAAAAAAGATGTCCAAAATCCCCTCGGTTTATTTAAAGTAAAAAAGAAAAAAAAGTTAAAATACAATATTACTTTCAACCTACATTTCAGCTAATGCTTTCATTGTTTCTCCCTACTTTAAAATAAAGGGTTATGTACAATTAAATTGTATATGACTATGACTCTATTACTATTGATATTAATGCGATATCAGCATGTTATCCTTGCAAGAAGAAAAAAAAAACATGAAACCAACCTAACAGGGTTTCCTGTTTCCAGCTGGTCATAACTGGTTTAAGATCTCTCAAACTTACCATCTGCTTAAAAGACCTCCAGAACCAACCAACTGACTACCCAGACCAGACTAGGATAGTAGTTTAGTCTCAATCCAATTAAACATGCATCATTCATTTTAAATGTACTATAGATTTGTCCTTATATTAAGAGGACATCCTCTATTGCAGCTTATATTTATTGAAGCAATATAAAGAGAAAGAAGAGAAGCCGTGGTGCCTTCAACCCATCCAACAGGGATAGAAGCCTGTCAAAGCAATAGTCACAGGGGTGCTTGTTTATCCGCCAGTCTTTGTCATACAGCCCACCTCCCCTCGCACACACAAAACATGCTTTTTCTGCAGGTCATGTGACAGACAATCTGTCCCCCATTAACAAATGTAGCTCAGCTCTGTCACCTCTCTCCCTTCCTTGAGTTGTGCGTCTCTCTGTATGTCGTCCCGTTTCAGTTTGACCACTGGAGTGGGGCTCTTGTCTCTGTGTATGGAGGGACATTAGTGTTATATGTTTCCATATGTGACCATGGACCACAAAACCAGTCTTAAGTGTCAATTTTTAGAAATTGAGATCACATCATCTGAAAGCTGAATAAATAAGCTTTCTATTGATGTATGGTTTGTTATGAAGGGACAATATTTGGCCGAGATACAACTATTTGAAAATCTGGAATCTGAGGGTGCAAAAAAAATCTAAATATTGAGAAAATCGCCTTTAAAGTTGTCCAAATGAAGTCCTTAGCAATGCATATTACTAATCAAAAATTAAGTTTTGATATATTTACGGTAGGAAATTTACAAAATATCTTCATGGAACATGATCTTTACTTAATATCCTAATGATTTTTGGCATAAAAGAAAAATTTATCATTTTGACCCCTACAATGTTTTTTTGGCTATTGCTACAAATATACCCCAGCGACTTAAGACTGGTTTTGTGCTCCAGGGTCACATATGTTAGGTTTAATGTGTTTTTTTTTATTTTTATTGTTTCCTTTTAAGCTCAGATTCTGCGTCATCTTTTTCATTCACAATGTCATTACCGGTGTGTAGCCTATATACGTCTCTATACAAATATAATTGAGCTGAGTTAAATAGGTTCGTTAAAGAGGTAGTTCTTCTAAATATCTATCAAAATATCTTTTTATTTTAGTTTTTGAAACATCATGTAAAAGATGACAGAAGGTCCATTTTTGGGTGAACTATCCTTATAACGCATATAAGAAATTATGGACCATTTCTCTTTGTTTTGTGAAAATTCCTGTTTATTTGCTAGAAATGTAAAAACAAAATGAAGCATATAAGATTTGTTGTACACCAGTGAGGGGTTGTGATTAGGGATGCACCGATACTGGTATCGGTATCGGGCCGATACTGGTCTCCTGTACTCGTACTCGTTAAAATGCCCCTACCACACAACATGTGACAAGCGCCATATTCAAATAAAGAAACACCAACAACAGACAGCAGAAAGGAGTTAAGGATGTCTACTACGAAGTATATGTATGCAATGAATATAATGTTAAACATTCAGTATTAACGCCTGTATAGCTGATGTGCGCGAGCTGATAAACAAAGCACGCTGAGTGGATTGAGCGCGCGGCGGCGCAGATGCGCGAGCTGAATATCGAGTGAATATACCTTTCTCACAGACATCA